TGTAGCCAGCAGCCGCAGTGAGCGGCCGTCCAGAAGCCAGCGATTGATGTGCCTCGCCTGGGAAGAGCACAATGATAATACTAACATGGGCCAGTGAAGCAACGTCCTCCACACTAGACTGAAGAACAAAACGACAGCAACTTGTCTGCTCCCCTTCCCCCAATTCCCCTGTACTGGTCCCATCCCCCCAATTCCCCAATAAAAATCTTTAAAAAAAACCCAAAAAAACCCACACCTGAGCTCTTGAAATGTGGCCAGGATGACTGAGCAACGGAATTTTCCATTTAACTTATTGATTTTAAATTTAAAAACAATCACTGGAAAACTTTTAAGTATGTTTGGAATAACTTGGGTACGTCAATGTACTTTTTCAGCTGAAGAAGCTATGACACATAATAAATGCAGACGAAGTACTGCCAATGACAATTTAGCATCTGAGTTGAGATGTGCCACAAGGGTGAAGTACACACTGGATTTTGAAGGGCAGCCACGGGGGCGGGGTGGGGGTGGCTGGCCTGTGAAGGAAGCAGCTCAGAGGCAGATGGAGCCAGGAGTAGGACAGTGGCAGAAGAGGCCAGAGGATATCACTTCAGCACCTGAATCCAGCCATGCCTGAAGCCCATACATTCCAGAGTCTCCCATGATTTGAACCAAAAAAGGATTCTTTTTGCTTAAGCCACTTTGAGCTGAGTTTTCTGCAGATTCATGGCCCAAAGAGAAAGGTTTGCAGAAGCAAAGGTGGGCGGGAGAGACAGAAGGGTGTGGGGGAGGTGGCCTGCGGGCACTTGGGGACCAGACCTGTATGTGCTGCTGCAGCCTCTTTTTCTCGTTTTGCAGCTGGCGGCTGCACTCCTCCTCCTCCCCCACGCGGGCCTCCAGCTCTGCCACTACCAGCTCCAGCTCCTGCTTGCGGGCTGCCAGCCGCCCCCGGGTCTCCTCAGCCTCCGCACACAGCTCTGCTTCTGCTCGCAGTTGCTCTGCCAGGCGGGTGCGCTCCTCTTCCAGCTAGGGATGGGGTAGGAGGTCAGGGGTCGGCAGGCAATGCTCCCAAGATGGCTTTCAGTGGAGCACCAGGTCCCTCCTGCACCCTAATTCGCTCTGCTGTTTGACATACAGCTCCCGAACCTGTTCCTACCCCAGGTCCCCATCTCAGGATGCCTCCACATCCTTCTAGTCATGAGTCAGACCCCTGGGTACCGTCCTCTCCCTTAGCTCCTCACAGCCATCCGTCCAGCCCCATCCGTCCCTCCTGCCCCGTGACTCTCTCTGCTCTGTCCCTGCCTCTGTTCCCCTAGCCCCAACAGGCCCAGGCCTCATCCTTTCCCAGTGGATTCTCTCCCCAGCCTCTTTTCCAGCCTCCTGGCCTCCAGTCTCTCCCTCTTCCAGTCCATCCTCCAGATAGCCCCATAGAGGCCTTTCAACCATCTCACACTTCATTTAATACTCCTATGCCTAGCAATTTAATCAAAGGAAATAATTCAGAAAAAGTGAACAGACAAATGCTCAAGGGGTTTGCTTCAGCATTATTTTAAGATGCCAGAAATACAGGAAACAATCAATTTCCGCCTGGAAATCATAGCCCTGCCACATGGCAGAGCTCCTGGAGCCCAGCCCCCTGAGCATCTTGGTTTGGCAGAACCAGCCCCCCACCCAATACCCTGACTACATCCCCAGGGCCCTGCCTCCTGTACACCATGGCTCAACCACACCACACAATTTTGTATCCTATTGAGCCCCAGTATGCCTAGACTCTGCCTTATCCTACCCCTTCTCCCCACAGCCCTGCCCTGGTCACATCAGGCTCAGCCAGAATCCCCGCCCAGCTCAACTTGGCTCCGCCCACAGCCACACCCCACCCATGGCCCCACCTCTTACCTGTGTCAAGCGGCTCCGGAGCTCGCTGGCTTCACGGGCACTCTGCTGCTGTAGCTCCTGCACTTTCTGCAGCTCCTGAGCCCGAGCCTGCAGCACCTCATCCTGCCGCGTCACCTGCAGCAGTGGCTTCACCTAGGGGGAGGTCAAGGTAATGGAATAGGTGGGAGGCTGGTTGGCTGAGGAGCTAAGAGTTCACACCCTGATCAGGGCGGGATTCCTGGGTTCCAAGGCCAGCTCCTCCCCTGGCTAGCTGAGTGACCTCAGACAAGCACGTTAGTGTCCTCATCTATAAAATGGAGATAACAGCCCCTACAGCCCAGGGTTTTTGGAATGAGTTAACACTTGTAAAGAACAGTCAGGGATGCATGGCAAGCTGCCCTAAACGTGTTCCTTTTTTGCTAAATAAACCCTTTGCATACAAGAGACACTGGCTGCTGCTATTCTGTAGCACAGTGTTTCTCAAAGTTCTTAGTCCCAGGTCTATGGTGAGAGATGCACTTTACATGGTGTGATTCAGGTGGGAGTGACAGGCACCACACATCATTAACCGAAATGGAAGTTTCACAAAACTACCCTCCCCCTTGCTAAGTGGGATACACTCTGATAATTTCTGTTCTATTGCTTTCTATTCGGCTCTTCTTCGCTCTACTTGATTCTTCTCTACACGAGCCTTTTTCTATTCTATTATTTTCTTTTCTGCCCTAATTCATAGCGTTTATCACAGCTATAACTTGGTATTTATTAGTGGGATTCATTCATTGATAGCTGTCAAACCCGCCCTCCGCCAGCTCCCAACCTAGGGTAGGCCAACATTTTCTTAAAGGGCCAGCTAGGAAATATTTGGGGCTTTGCAGGCCATCCTGTGTCTGTTTTAATGATTCCACTCAGCTGCTGTTAATGCAAAAGCAGCCACAGACAATACAGTAACCAGTGGGCATTTACAAAAAGAGGCGGCTGGCCCTGGGTTTGCCAACCCCTCCCCTAGACCATGGGCTCCATGGGCACAGCTCTGCCTGTTTTTATTTACCATCTTATCACGATCCCCTAAAAAGTTACTGGCACATAGCAGGTGCTCAGTTAACACTGGCTGAGGGCATATAGGTTGACAGCTCAGACACTGTATTCAGAATCACACTGAACAGCAGGGCTTTTACCTCCAAATCTCCACACTCCTTCCTCTTCTCCAAGTCCCCATTGGGGAAACACCCTGCCCCCAAGCTCACAGAGGGCCTGATGACCTCGCTCCGCCCCTTTGCTTTGGGTGGGCATGTGGTGCCAGCCTGGCTCATCTGAGGTGTAGTGACTGATCTGGGATAGTCACATGATCCCAGCCAGGCCATGAGAGTGAAACCTGGGACTCTGAGTTCTGGCCTAGCTAAGGAAGTGGGGCTCAATCTGCTGGTGGCTCCCAAGTGGGAAAGTGTGCAGGTGACCCTCATGGAAGAAAGCCAAATGGGAGAACAGAATGTCGAGTAACTCACATCACTCTTTGGACCCTTGTGCAATAATGGTTTAACAATGGTTAATGAGTAGGCAGGCCTGAGTTGTCGAAAACCCACTCATTTCAAAGGAAGGACTGGCTCTTCCCCAGCTCCTGGGAGATCATCTCTAAACCCTTGGAATATCCTTCCTGATAAGAGTGACTTTGTTCACCTGGGGGCTTCTGCCACATGGTATCAACTTGACCTCTGGAGGGACTGGAGACGGAGTGACTAAGGTCAACCACGTGGGCGTTCAACCATGCCTATGTGACTGACCCCAATAAAAACTCTGGACACTGAGGCTCGGGTGAGCTTCCCCAGCAGGCACTATCTCATGTGTGTTGTCACATGTTGTTTCTGGAAGATTATGTGCTGTCTATGTGACTTCACTGGGAGCGACAAGGGGAAGCACCTGGTGTCTCCGGGATTCTGCCCTGTGCGCCAATCATTTTCACTGATTTTAATCTCTGTCCTTTCACTGTAATAAACTATAACCATGAGTATAACAGCTTCTCTGAGTTCCAGTGAATCATTGAATCTGAGGGGGTCCTCGGGACTCCCAACTCAGCCCCTGGATCCAGTTGCAACTGAAGCTATCCTACATGTTTTACTCATGTTGGTTTGAGTCAGATTTTTTTGTTACTTGCTACCTAAAGAATCCTGGCTAACAAAGGCCGGCCTGACTAGTCCCGTTTTATAGATACAGAAAACTGAGGCCCAAACAAGGAAGTCACTTGCTCAAGCAGACCTGTCCCCAAGGTCCTGTCTCCTCGCTGTTCAGGCCACACCATCTTGCCAGGCGCCCTCACCTTGATGAAGAGACGCCACCACTGCCAGTGTCTCAGCTTGAGGTAAGCCGCACAGTTCCGCTGCATGACCCTCAGTGCACTCTGCTGCTGCTGCCGCTTCTGGAAGGCCCTGAGTGGGGAAACAGGCATGTGGGAGGGTGCGTGCTCAGCCCCTCCAGGCCCAGCCCCCTTAGCAACAGAGCGAAGCCCCTTTCAACTAATCAACCATTATTAAATGCCTACTGTGTGCAAGCATCATTCTAGTATTGATAAATCTTATTGTATCCAGTTCATCAGTCCTCCTGTCCTTGACTCTCTCTGCCCTGTCCCCACAGCCCCAGTTCAGGCCTCATCTTTGCCCACCTGGACCCTCACCCCCACTTCCTCCCCAGCCTCCCAGACTCTAGTCCATCCCCAACATGCCTCCAGAGGGATCTTTCTACACCTACCCCTCCCATGCTCACAGCCCTCCTGTGCCTCCCCAGTATCCCTGGACAAGGTCCCCGACCCTCAGCCTGGTATCTGGGAGTCCCTTTTCCTCTGCTCCTTCCTCTGGGCCAGTTCCAAGGGAGAAGGAGACACTCCTACAAACTTCCCACATTCCAGAAGCGTGCCAGGTTCTCATATCACAGGGCCTTCGCACGAGCTGTTGCTCTTGCCTGAAACACTTCCCATTCTCCTTTGTCCACCTGGTCATCAAGTATAACCTGGGGGTGTCCTGGTCTGCAGGGCCTTCCATTGCACTTGTAAGACCCCCATCAAAGCACACCTTGCCCCAGACTGTGACACTTTGTGGTGTACGTCTCCCCTTCCAGACTTGAGTCCCTCAAGGATTGGCCAGTAGGATGATGACCTTGACCTGAATTACCTGGGGCTTTCTCTGTGTTAGCACTGAAAATCATACATCCTGGGAAACCTCCAGTCCCAGGCAAAGTGGGATGCTTGGTCGCCCTATGGAGGAGTCTAGCTTTTCTCTGTGTCCTCAGCATCGCTCAGCACTGGGCCTGCCCATAGGGGGCCTCAGCGACTGCAGAACAAGGAGCTGGCTCCATCCCTTTGTCTCTCAGCCATTCTACCATCTTGGAGGCCCTGACATCTGGAGCTATCTGGTCAACCCCTCCCTGTCCCAGCCTTAGCCAATGGGACCCCAGGAGACAGTGTGGTGCCCCACCTGCGAGCCAGGTATCCACGAGCAGCTGCCTGGAAGGACACAATGATGTCTGTGACCTTCAGGTCCCGTTCCTCTTCCAGATGAGCCAGGACCCCCGCCCGGAAGAAGATCTTGCTCTGTCCCACACGGTAGAGGTTGGGGTCCAGTTCTAGGGCCTGGATCTGTGAGGGGTGGGGAGAATGAGTGAGGACAAGGAGGGGCAATGACAGGAGAGGACCCAGCACCTCCTCCACACCTGGGACCACACACACACACACACACACACACACACACACACACACACACCCCTGTACCCCTCAGGCTCCACAGCGTACTCACTCACCATCTTCTCACAGGCCTGCTTCCCATCCATAAAGCCTTTGGGGATGGCGTTGGGTGTCAGAATTTCATACCTACAGTGGGCGGGGAGGGGTGGGGGGTAGAGAGTTACAGCAAACCGTCACCCTGGCTGGCACTGTGCTCAGAGTGACAAATAGCGATAACAAAGATGATAATAACAAGAACAGTAAAAAAAAATGAACATTCAATCATTTATTGAGAGTCACACACTGGGCTAAGAGCATTAATACCACCACCACCAACGTTGACAATAAAAGCTCCCACTCCTTGGAAACTTACCACGTGCTGACTATGAGCGTTTTATTACGCCACCACCATATTTTATCGAGACATAAAACAACAGTGGGTCTCAGAATGGAAATGTAAGAATAAAAAAAATTGCAGCCAATGTTTTTGAATACATACTTCTTATGTGTCAGGCCCTAAGCTAAGTGCTTTAAAGCAGTTTTGTTCAAATTTCTGAGTGCAACTCAGAGTAAAAATAATATATTTTATAAACACATACGTGTCTGTCCTCAGAGCCTTTCCCCTGCTGGATCTTGACATTTCATATAAAATAATGTGTGTTATATATACAATATATACACACATACATGTCATATATAATATACATTTTATGATTGGTGATCGAGAAAGGTGTGTGTGTGTGTGTGTGTGTGTGTGTGTGTGTGTGTGTGTGTGTGTGTGTTTCTCAATCAATCACCAGGGAGCTTGTTAAAATGCAGATCCTAATTCAATAAGTCTGGGTGGGGCCTGAAAATTTGCATCTCTAAGAAGCTGCCAGGAGATGTTGGTGCGGCTGGTCTGGGGACCACACTTTGAGTAGCAAACTACAGACCTGTACTGTCCGATATGGCAGCTACTGGCCAGCCACATGTGACTACTGAGTCCTTGAAATGTGGCCTGAGCAGTTGAGGAACTGGATTTTTAATTGTATTTAATTTTCACTAAGTAAAATTTCAATTTAAAAACCGAAGCAGTGTAAAAAATTTTTCTGTTAAACACGACTTCGTTGTTTTGATAGGACTACATTTCACTTTGACCACTGGAAATTTAGTGTCCGAACTGAGATGTACTGTGGGTGTAAGACATACCTCATTTTGAAGACTTTGTAGGAAAAAAGTATGCACGATATCTCAATACTGATTACATGTTAATATTACCTAATATCTTAGATTTATTGGGTTAAATAAAATATCTTGTCAACATTAATTGTGCCTGTTTCTTTTTACTTTAAAAAATATGGGGCCGGCTGAGTGGCTCAGTTGGTTAAGAGCTCGCTCAAGAGTTTGAGCTCTGAGCAACAGTGGTTCGAGTCCCGGCCCGAGCTGAGCAGCCGCTGAGCTGCCAACAGGTGGCAGGATGGCTCAGCTAAAAAATATATATATATGACTACTAGGGCTGGCCGAGTGGCTCAGTTGGTTAAGAGCTTGCTCAAGAGTGTGAGCTCTGAGCAACAAGGTCGCCAGTTCAATTCCCAGCCTGAGCTGAGCTGCCACTGAGCTGCCAACAGGTGGCAGGATGGCTCAGCTAATAAATAAATAAATAAATAAATAAATAAATAAATAAATAAATAAATAAAATATGACTACTAGAAAATTTTACACTGTATACAGGGCCCATTTTCTATTTCTTATGTACAGCACTGCTAAATACAGCTTATATGAGGTATAATTTTTATTATAATATTTACCATATTATTTGCTTCTTGTGTGTTGATATTTTTTGTCTTATCCTATTCCACGGCATTTTTTTAAAAATGCCGATTGCAACATGCTGATGGCAGTATAACACTCTATGTCCTTTCTCTTAGGGAGCACATTGAGTGGGTAATGTTCTCCCACATCACAGAGGAGAAAAGTCCCCTGGCTCAGAAGTAACAATGGGGGACTTTGGATACAGGTATAGTGGCTTCCTGGTCCAAGCCCCACCCCACGCCTCAACCGGCTCACCTCTGCCGGAACTCCTGGAAGAGAATGCGGTTGGGGAAGCCCTGACGACAGATGCGGATGCCCTCCAGGACACCGTTACAGCGCAGCTGGTCCAGCACCAGCCTGGGCTCCAGCTTCCCTGCCTGTGGAGAGAGGTTCATATGCGCGGGGTCAGTGCTGGCCATTAGGGGGCGCCACTCACTGGATGGGGGCACCACTCATTGGAGGACAGCGGCCAAGGTGGAATGGCCATTTTTTTGGCCAGGCAAAAAATGGTTGGCAATTTCATATGGTCCAACCTAATTTACTGAGCACCTACTACATTTCAGGCAGAAATCCGTGCCCTGAGGGAGCTCACAGTCCACTGGAAGAGGTTCACAATAAATGTGGTCAAGAAATCATTAATAGGGGTGGCCGGTTGGCTCAGGTGGTTAGAGCGTGGGCTCATAACACCAAGGTTGCCGGTTGGATTCCCACATGGGCAAGTGAGCTGTGCCCTCTACAACTAGATTGAAGACAACTGCTTGGCTTGGAGCTGAGCTGCCAGTGGGTGTCCGGTTGGCTCAGTTGGTTGGAGGGCAGTGCATGTAACACCAAAGTTACCGGTTCGATTCCCACATGGGCCAGTGAGCTGCGCCCTCCCAGCAAAATCAGGAGATTTATTAAATAAAAGGGGACTGAGAAAAACAAGTAAATATGTACTATATTATAGGACCCAGGTTTCTCCTTGTTGCAAGAAAAAAAAAGTTACAAATTTGTATAAGGGAAACAGTTACAAATAACTCTGTGATGTTGGGCTGGATTTGACATACTGGTATGAACTCATGATTTTCAATACAGAAAGCTAGTTCTAAAAATAAATATAAAAGTAAATGTGTACATACATATACATGTGTACATGCGTATACCTATGTATATGCATGTATATACATTTAAGTATATATGCATAGCTCTGTTTACTGAGAGGTCCTGGGAGTGACACCCTAAAACCATTGAGCACACTTAGAACCCAGATCTTAGACTCTAAGTACCATTCTCCACTAAAAAGGACCAAGGCTTCTTAGAGAAATGGCTGTCCATGCATGCCATATTTCATCAAATATAAGCTACCATCAATTATAAGACACACTGTTATTTTATATACCACCAAGAAAGAAAAACTGCTGTCAATTAAACTGACAAGCTATTGATTATAAGCCATATCCCAACTTCAGAGATGCTAAAGTATCAGAAATAAAAGTGTCTTAGATTTAATAAAATATGGTGTTTGCAGACAAGAGAAAAGAGAAACACACCCAATAACCCACCCAATAACCATAGCTACTTTCCGAGGACAGTGTAAGCCTCGAGCACCTAATTTTGTGGTCTTATTTTCCACTTATGTTGACCCCTTTCCACAAGGCCCATTCTGTGATTTTCCCAACAAAAAAAACTTTTGGTGCTTTGGGAGGCCAGGCATGGTCTCCCCACACCTACGTGACAGCTCCAGCCCCAACGGCCTTCTTTCTATCCCTTGGACCTTCCATGCTCCAAACTACCACAGGAACTTTGCATGAGCTGTTCTGCTCAGAACACCACTTATCCTTCAGAGCTCAGTTGACACCTCCTTCAGGGAGCCTTCTCTGACTTCACTGACCAGATCAAACCTTATGTGATACTTACCACCCCTGCAAATTCAATTGGACATTCATTGTGGGTGTTTAGTTGAATGTCTATGTGCCCCATTAGACTGTGAGAATAGGGGTTGGCTGTGCTTCTCTCTCTAATGTATCCCTATTACCTGGCACTTAGTAGGTGCTCAATAAAATTTAAGTCCCATGAATGAATGAATTTCCCTAACAGGGCATTAAGTCTGGGAGGAGAAGTAACTCACTCAAAGTCACACAGCCAGTCAGAGGTGAGTCTGGGACCAGATGTGGCTCCAGCCAAGTCAAGCAGCCAGGCCTTGACCCACTGCCAGGGCTGCCCCAATCCCCGAGCCGGGTCACTTACCCTCTTCTCATGGTTGGGTACAATACAGCGGACAAAGCTGGGGTTGGTGTTGCTGAGTGTGGCCATGAGGCGGCTCAGAGACTCCTTGTAGAGCTGTCCCACTGTCCGGAACATGCCCCGGCGGGGGCGTCCACCCGGTGGGCCATCCCCAAGGCTGCTCACCTGCTCCAGACCCACAATGCCCTCCACTGTGTGAAGAGAAAATCAGATGTAGGGAGAGAATGGCAACCTGGTTTGGGGGGACTGGGTTGGCCAAAGGTCAAGGGTCTTACCATTTATAGGATCTGACACTTTATATATGAAACACCTCACCTTCCTGCTAAGGTAGGTATTACTATCCCCATTAGACTGACAGGCAAACTGAGGCTCAGAAAGGTAGAAGACTGTAGCCAAGGCAACACAGCTTAGAAACTGCAGATCTAGGATTTGAACCCAGGCAGTGGGAGACCTCTTGAAACCTGGCCTCTGACACCTCTTCTCCTCAAGGATATTATCTCCATTTTCCTTATTGACAAATGATGATGACAACAACAGTAAATGTTTATTTAGCACATATTCTCTGCCAGGCAGTGCTCAAAGCACTTTACATATGCTGGCTTATTTATGGGCCTGTAAGAATTGCCCCATTTTACAGATGAATTTTTAGGAACCTGAGTCATATGAAAAATGTAATAGGGGACCCCCAGTCGGGACCCCCTCTCATTTTGAGAGCTGTTACTTTCTGCCCTAATAAAACTATCCTCTGCTAAAACTTTAAGAAAAATAAATAAAAAATAAAAAATAAAAATAAAAATGTAATAAAGCCTGGCTTTTACATGGAATATTTGAAATAATATGCCTCCATATTGAGCATTTTTCAAGGAAGTCCTAATTTCATGGTAACTCTGTTTCTCTGTTGTCATTGGATGGTATCACTTCAGCTAGTGAGGAATACTCATTCCTCCGTCTCGAGTTCAATGATTGAATCATGCCAGGTTTCTCAGGATCCTGCAGCTGGGGCAAAATCTGATGTCCTGCTGTCTCCAATAATGAGGGTCATCAGAGGTCAACCAGATAATCCGCACTTAGGCCTGCCGGGCCGGTGTATGGTGGGGGCTCAGATACGGCATTTTCCTCCCTAGGTTCAACTCTCCCTTCCACCGCCATACTTCCAGTTATTATCAAAATGATAATGATCACTTATTAAGTTCTTATAGCACAGGTAAAAGCTAAGGCTCTGGGATCCGATGTCCTGGGTTCAAATCCCAGCTCTGCCACTTACTGGCCATGTGACTTTGGGCTGGTCACTTAACCTCTCTGTGCTTCAATTTCCTCATCTGTGTAATGGGGTAATAGTACTAACACCTGCCTCATTGGGTCGTTCAGAGGGTCCTATGTGTTAATAACCGTAAAAGGGCTTTGAACAGTGCACAGAACATAGTAAACACTCAATACATTTCAGCTGATACTATTACAGTTGTTTGTACTTTTACATGCGATTTAGTTAAAAGAAGGCATTCAGTCCAGAAACTGCTGAGGAAGCTTACAAGGAGGAAGAAGAAGCAAGAGAAGCCTCCTTATGGAGAGGAGAGGGGACAAAACCAGGTTGAAAACCAGGTTCCCGGTCCAATAGACCCACCCTCCTTGTCCGGCAAATCTCACCCATCGATGCACAGCAACACCCACCCCCTGGCGGAGAAATGGCAGAGCCGTGCCTCCCTGAAGATCCTGGGGGTGATGAAGGGAAGGAGCCAAGGAAAGAGAACTGCTGGAAGCCCCCATGTTCTGGGGGATGAGGACAGATGGGGGGAGATGCAAAGGGAGTAGCATGAGAAGAGAGGAAGAAGAGAAGGTGGCAGGAAGAAAAAAGAGAGGGTTATTAGTCAACAGCACAGGACAAAGCAGAAGGGAGAACCTAAGTGCTGGCCAGAAACCTTTAAAACCAAGGAGACCGGCCTGTTCACCTTTGTGTCTATCCACTGAGGGCATCAATGTTGGCTGAAAGGACGAGTGTCCTTGTGAGAACTCAGTGCCAGGGGCAAAAGATCTCTCTCCCTAGAGGTTGACTCTTTATCTGTTTTATTAGGTGTGTGTTTTTGCCCTGGCTGCCAGGAAGCTCTAGGACTAACAATGCCCCTGCCCAGCTTGTTGTGTTTGCTGCTTTGAGGAGAACTTGTCTCATTTGCCTTTACCCCTGGGCTGCCAGGATGCTGGGCACCCAACTCTGGGCTCAGAGCCACTGTAATAGAGGCTGATGCAAAAATTGCCCCAATTTCCCACCCTTCTCTGTGACTTGCAGCTCCTCAAATCTGAGCTGGCCTTGTGACTGCTTTGTTCAGGAGAACTGTGGAAGAATTAACTTCCACTGTGCCAGGTTCTAGTCTAGGACTCAAGAGGCTTTGCTGCTTCTTTGCAAAGGATTCACTCTTGGAATCCTTTGAGATCCAGGAACTATTACGTGTCCATGAATTAAGCACAGATTTTTTAAGAAGCTGGGAAGGGGGAGATTTTCAGCCCGAAGGAGATGATTTGTAACACCAAACACTACTTTTCAGTCCCTCTTGTGTAAACTATATGAGACATAAATATCAAATTTCTCTTTCTTAAATCAGCTCACAAGATCAAAGTACCCCATGTCCTTTTGCTCTGTGAGTTCATTTTGGGAACCACTCATCTTGTTTATTTTGTTCCCTTGCCTAATTGTATGGGCTAGCACTTCTACAGCTATGCTTTTCACTTCAATAAAAGAATAAGGCAAACTGACAGAGTCAAAAAAGCTGAAATCAGGAAAAATCAGGGTGCTAGCCTTGCCAGTTGCATTAAGTCATCTCCCAAACCTCCTCTAAGGGTGGGTGGGGGTGAGGGGGCGTTAACAGACAAGGGTTGGGAAAATGCAGGGTCCTACCACAAAGACATTTGGCTTTTCTGCCCATGCCTCCTGGAAGTGTCATTTCGAAAAGACTCATGGCTAAATTCACATGGGTCTTGTTGGAGCAAGAAAACTCTCTAAAATTATATCTCGGTCTGTTGCTCATTTCTTTTTCCCTGGGGCCCTGAAAGGAACTTTGTGAGAGGGCAAAGAAAGCAAAGCCTAAAAAATGACCAATCTGTAAAATACCATTCTTCTGCGTTTTCTTGTTGTTATTAAATTTTTTTTAGTCAAATCTCTTGATTTTTCAAAGGATCATATGCCATCTGCAAATAATAAGTTATCTCTTTCTTTACAATAGTCACATACTTAATTATTTTTCTGGTCTGATTGCATACACCAGTATCGCCAAAACAGTGTTTCACAGCAGTGTTGACAGTGGGTATCCTTGTCTTGTTTCTGATTAAGGAGGAGTGTTTTATCATTGACTATGATGCTGGCTTAAGATAGCAATCAATCAATCAATCAATCAATCAATCACTAATTGGGAACATTATTGTGAGGCTGGCCTGCCTACATCAGTTCTGCATCTGAGCAGACAACACAGGTTCAGAACTTAACCTCTGAAACAAAGTTGCTCACACTATGGTTTGGGAGAAGAAATGCCCAGAGCACCAGGGCCAGGGGAAGTTGATCCTCACCATCTTTCCAGATCTCCGCAGTTAGCCGGTCCGTGCTCTGGTGCAGGAGGGCTGCAACATTGTCATTTAGAGGGTCCATGTTCTTCATCAGCCACTCATTGGCCTTGTAGTCAACCTGAATGAAGTCAGCATTGAGGGTGATGAACTTGCAGGTTCATTAGCACTCCAGGTAGCTCAGGGAGCCTAGCCTCCCAGAAGCTCTGAGATGCCCAGCTCTGGGGCTCACCACAGAAGAGAGCATTGGTGCCACCTTGTGTCCATATTCTGAACTGCACCAACATGGCCCTCTCCCTTACTTTCCTGCCAACCTCTATGATCTCATTTACCACCACTTTCCTCCTTATCCATTCTGCTCCAGTCACACTGGCCTCCACACTGTTCCTCAAATGTGCCAGCGCATTTCCACCTCAGGGTTTTTCTCCCTGCCATCCTCACTGCCTGGAATTACCACGCTGTGGATTTTCCCATGGCTGGCTCCTTCCAAGTCCTCAGGGCTTTGCTTTGAGGCTCCCAGAGTCACAGTCATGACCACCACAACTCGTTGTACATGTTCCCTCCACCAGACAGGGGCTCCCTGAGGCCAGGGCCCAGGTCTGACAGCCCAGCACAGGGCTGGGCTCACGAGAGGTCTTAGAAAATGTATGGGAAACTCACAGAATGCTAGACACAAGAAACATGTGGCTTCTGCCTCCCAGCATTTGTGTATGCTGTTCCCTCTGCCTAGAGAGCCCTTCCCACCCTTCGCCTATCCTTTCTGGCTGCCTGTTACTCATCATTTACACCAGGCGTCAACTACAGCCCACCTCTTTTTGTATATAAAGTTTTATTGGACTACAACCTTCATTTATATATTCATTTATGTATTACCTGTGGCTTCCTTCATGCTACAGTGGAATTGTGCAGTTGTGACAGAGGCTGGCCCACAAAGCTGAAACTATTTACAGAAAATGTTTGGCGACCCCTGGTTTAGATTTCAGACACAGCATTGCTGTCCTCTGTGAAAACCTTCCCTTAACATTCCTCCTCTGGGCTTTGACACTGCCCTTAGCTGCCCCCATTAAAGCATCTATCAGCCTTATGTCCTAATAGTCTTTATTTGTGTCCCTTCCAGATAAGGACCTTTGTGAGGACAGAAACCATGTCTGACTTAGAGCCTTAGCTTTACTCAACAAAGGGCTGAGCACACAAAACGCACATGTTTGCTGAGTGAGCAGATAAAATGCACATAATTCTCCTCCTGGTGAACTCCTTCCATCCCCCAAAACCTACCACAAATACTCTCTCCTTGAGGAAGCTTTGCTGACTTCATCAGAGAGTCCTCACTCTACCTTGGACTTTCCTGGCCCCTGCCCTGGCAGTGTCTTGTCTCAGTGGACATCTGTGGCCCCTGCTTTCCCTCTGCACCCCCTCCCTATACCTGTAGCCAAGTGGTCCCCACTCCCGCCCACATGCCCTGAGACTGGGCCCCACCTTTACCTTGCCCGCATAGTGCAGGACACTGAAGTCGGCCTGGTCTCGCAGGTGCCTCGGCCGCTGGAACTTGGGGTGGCCGCCCTGCTCCTGGGCCACCTTCTCTACGAAGGACTTGTCTGTGGCCTTTGGGAACCAGCACTCCTCGTCCAGCAGGGCCAGGAGCCCGGGGGGGTTGGCCTGACCATTGACAGGAAGGGGAGACTAAGTCAGACCACCAAATATTGGACACTTTGGCTGTGGCTAATTTTTAGTTCTCATAAGTGACACTTGGACTTACAACCAAATGTGAATGAGAATAATAGTTACAGTTACAGCCATCAATTAGCCCTTTGATTCAAGCCAGGCCCTGTGGCAGGCACATTTCCGGTTGTATTATCTGGCGGTTACACGGGCCTGTGTCATTTTCTCCATTTTACTGATGGGGAGGCCTGAGGTCAGCAGGGTGAGGAGCTGGACCACAGTCGTGGCCAGTGTGGGAGATGGGTATAGGGGGTGGGGGTGGGAGGAGGTGCCACAGGCTCACCGGCCGCTCGATGAGGTCAATGCAGGGCTGCAGGTCAAGGCCAAAGTCGAGAAAGGTCCAGGGGATGCCCTCACGCTGGTACTCCTCCTGCTCCAGGACGAACATGGTGTGGTTGAAGAGCTGCTGCAGCTTCTCGTTGGTGTAGTTGATGCACAACTGCTCGAAGGAGTTCAACTGTAGGGGATGAGGGGACGCGTGAGAGAGGGAACAGGGACCCAGAGAGAGGGGACGGGGACCCAGGGAGATGGGAGATGGGGACCCAGAGAGAGGGGATGGGGACCCAGGGAGATGGGAGATGGGGTCCCAGAGAGAGGGGACGGGGACTCAGGGCAAGGGGAACAGGGCCAGAGTGATGGTGCCCTCCTGGCCCTCTGGCGGCACAAAGTGCAGACCTGGAAGATCTCAAAACCAGCGATATCCAGGATACCCAGGAAGGAGGCGCCCTGGCGGGGGCTGCGATCCAGAGCACGGTTGAGGCGCAGGACCAGCCAGCGGAAGAGGCGCTCATAGGTGGCCTTGGCCAGGGCCTCCAGTGCGAAGTCAGCCTGCAGGGCATGGTGCACAGTGAGGGCTGGGCCTGCACATCAGTGGCCTCAGCCCATCCCCCAGGGCTGGCAGGAAGACACTGGGTGGGGACCAGGCCCTCTCATGGTTCATCAAGAATGATGACATGAACAACAGCCAACCAATGAAACCCTACTGTGTGCCAGGTACAATGTGAAGTGCTCAGGGCCCATTAGTTCATTAATCCTCCCCCATCCCTTGAACCAATTTTAACAGTATAACAGTTAAGAGGGTGGTCTCTGGAGCCTGGCAACCTGGGTTTGAATCCTGGCTCTGCCACACAGTGGCTGTGTGACCTCACACATGTGAATAAACCTGTCTATGCCTGTTTCATTATCTGTAAAATGGATCCTAAAAATAGTACCTCAGGTGAGAGGTGAGAATGGAACCCAGGTCAGCATGACCCCCAATATCTAGTCCTCATCTCCCCCACTGTGTCTTCTTCGCCCTAGTACCTCAAGTCCAGCCCGGAGCCAGACAGTGGCCTCTGCCCAAATGCTGGATTCTGACAACCTCTAGCTTGTGTTAATTTTTCTCCATTCCCACTGCTGCCACCCCTGGTCTGAGCCGCATTGTCATTTGCCTGGACTATGGCAGTAGCCTACTCATGACTCCACGCTTCCACCTGCAACCCCCGGACCCAATTGTCCACGCAGTAGACAAGGGGGTCTTTACAAAAGACAAACTGAATCAAGTTGCTCCCTGGGTCAAACCCTTGCTGACCTGCGGCACTCTGAATAAAACTCACCTCCTTACTGTGGCCCCTAAGATCCTGTGTGATCTGTCCCTTCCCAACCTCTCTGACTGCAGCTTCAACCACCCTCTTCCTCACTCTCTAGATTCAATGACCTCCTTAACATTCCCAACTCACCAAGCTTGCTCCAGCCCCAAGGCCTTTACATGGGCTGCACCCTCTGCCTTGAACAATTTGGCTCAATTAGAACATTACCTCCTCAGAGAGGACCTTCCTGACCACCCTAAGCCCCTCCTTCATAAAAGACATTACCACCTACAAGCATCCCGCTTATTTATCTTCTTTCATTATCTGTTTCCCTACTATAGCCTGAGCTCCATGAGGGCATGACTTTGCTTCCAATACTGCTTTTATTCCCAGCACTTAGACCAGAGCCGGTAACCCAGCAGACCCTCGGCAAAAGTTTGTTGTGTGAGTGAGGAAAACCAGCATAAACCGCTTAAAGACCCAGGACCACGGTACCCAGATCGCCCTGTGCCCTCCCGCCACCAGCATCACCCACCTGTTCCTTGGTCTGAGCTTTCTGCACGTAGTCTCGGCCAACTTTGATGCGGGGGGTGAGCAGGGCACGGGAGAAATCCGTCACCCCCAGACCCAGGAGGCGGCAGAGTTTCTGGGCAGCTGAGGACGAGAGGCACCAAGATCAAATCAGCACTGGGAAGTAGCCATGGCACCGCCTCCCACTGTTGGTGGAACAAAGCTGGCCCAGCCTTTCCCACAAGAAGCATCACAGGTCCTAAAAGTGTGCATGTTCTTTAGCCCAACCATTCTCCTTCTGGGAACCCAAGTGGCCAAAAATAACCCCCGATGTGAGCAAAGGCTGGACTGCGAGGATGTTCATCACAATATTGTTTACACTGGAGAAAAACAGGAAACAACCTGAATGTCCAACAATTGCGGATTGATTAGAGGAGTAGAGTCCGTCCATTTGAATAGCTGTTCTACTGTTGCTAAAAACTACGTTGGAAACTCATTACACATTAAACTTAAGATGTGTGCATTTCATGATATGTACATTTCACTTTGAATCAAAGAAAGAGTTGTAAACAAAGATTGGGCGCCAGTTAGACATGAAGGCTGAAGTGTGTATGTGTGACCTGCACCCATGTCTGCAACTTTAAAAATGCACAAGAAAATAAGGTGGATGAATGATGGATGGAGAGATATCTAACAAAGCAAGTGTAGTAAAATGCTAATGGTAGAATCTAGATGGTGAATAGCTGGGGGATTATTATAAAATTCTTTCAATTTTTCTTTAAGTTCGATGATTTCCTAATAAAATGTTGGGGGAAAAGTTATTGGAATACGAGTTAATTGAGGTGGCCAAACCTAAAGCAAATATTGAAAAATTAATTGTTCTTCTACATTATGGAAAAGAGGAAAAAAGGAAAAATAAAAAAGAAGACATAATTTACAATGACAACAAAAATAAACAGTCTAGAATGAAAATGAGGGCAGCAAATGAAACACTTTGGCAAATGTAGAAACATAACATATTACTAAATAAGTCTTTTCAACTTTTCTACATGTTTAAAAATTTTTTACAAGAATATGTTGGGGAAAAATTATGTTGCAAACTATTTAATGAAACAGAACAAAGTGTGTAATACACTAAAAAGGAAAACACTTAGGTTACAAAACTTTATGTAATATACATTCTATTTTTGTAGGAAAAACAAATTGCATAAAAAAATGCCTGAGTGTCAAAATGCTAAAACAGATGTTTTTGCAAAAGATGGGGGTGTTTCTTTTTTCTGCTCTGAATTCAAATGAGAATTAGAAGTGTTTTCAAGCACCTATCACTTCCATAATGGGAAAACAGTTACTACAAATACTCAGCTCTGGCAGAAATGAAAAAAGAAAAAAGAAACACTTTGGCAGGAAATACACCAAAATGTCAACAGTGATTAGTTCTGAGAGGTGAGGTCATGAAGATTTAAATTCCAACCCCACCCTTTTTTTTTTTTTTTGGTGCAATTACAGTTTCTTATTCTTGTACAGCAACCTTGTATTATATGGGAAGTATTTAAGCACCAACATAAGAAGGCTGACTAAAACGCATGTAATGTGCAAGGTAGTACTACGCTGCCAGGAACAGGATGGTTTTATAGGGTTCTAAGCCTTTGCATTTTGCCGGCTGGTGAAGCCTGTGGACTGCTTCTCCGATGAATGTTTGCAAATGCAGAAAAAATGAAATACACAGGATTTCAAAGAAGACTGATTATAGTGACATACAGTTCTCCCCGCAGATCCCAGATGAAGAAACCCCAGTACAGTTCTAGTTGAAAACCTTGAAAAGTTACCCCCCAGTGCATTTTGGGGGAAAGGCAGGTTTCCAAATAGTTTATAAATTCTGGTCCCAATCTTGCAAATCAAATGAAAAAGTGAGTGTGCACCAGTGAATGAAGACAGCCCCAACACCTCGGGTGATAGCTCTGATCCACACATCGTGGTTGATGCCCCTTCCTTCATATTTTCTGTGTTGTACTGCTTTTGAAAATGAGCCCATAGGGGCCGGCCGAGTGGCGCAATGGTTAAGAACTCGCTTGGGATGCCAGAGGGCCCCGGTTCGGATCCCACATATGAGGGCCAGTGACACTGCCCTCTATAGCTAAGATGCTGAACAACAG